AAGCTGCCAGTAATGCTTTTTCCAAAATGTTCTATCCCCAGCAAGCATTATTTAGAAGAAGTGGGATTCTACTGTTTTTTTTCTTAATATACTTATGTAAACCTTGCAGTTTGCTGAGGCTGGTGATATTTCTATCTCAGTTAATACATTTACCAATAGATGTTGATGGTAATTTGGAATGTTGACTACAGATAGTCCTTGACTTACGTCATTTAGTGACCATTCAAAGTTACAACGGCACTGAAAAAAGTGACTTATGACCACAGTTACCTTTGTAGCATCCCCATGATCATGTGATCAAAATTCAGATGTTTGGCAACTGATTCATGCTTATGACCATTGCTGTATCCCAAAGTCATGTAATTACCTTTTGCAACCTTTTGGCAAGCAATGGGAAGTCAGATTCACTTAACAACCGGATTATTAACTTATCAACTGCAGTGATTCACTTAACAACTGTGACAAGAAAGGTCGTAAAATGGGGCAAAGCTCACAACAAATGTCTTACTCAACAACAGAAATTTGGGGCTCAATTGTGGTCGTAAGCCAAGGACTACTTGTATTCTTATTTTCTTGTGATAGAGCTCTTAAAAACTATGAGTCCACAGTTCTAAGAGAAGACTTTAAGTTAATATCAGGCTCCTGCCAGAGGATATCTATATTTGTTAAACAGTTTTATAGCAATAAAATGTATAGCTGTTTTGATCATTGCTTGCCTTATTCTGTCATCAATTACTAGATCAAGCTGTGATGCAATCTTGTTTCAAATTATATAGGAGAGAAGGCTGAGCAAATGGAAATTAAAAAGGCAATATTGTTGCCTTTTTCATTACACAGTGGTTAGATGAATATATTGCCTTCATACTATTTACCTGACAAGTCACATTAAACATCTGCAGCATGTCTATCATAGTTTTTGACTTGTATAATTGGAATTCATGCTTTCAAAAAGGAAGAAATAAATAAAAAGTGAGCTGTGCTTCAAACCAATTCAAAAGTGTTGCTTTTTTCCTCCAAAAAAAGAAGATAACCTCTAAACCTCTAAGAGCAACTTCTAACAGAAACTGATTTATTTGATTGCAGAATAATCATTGTGTAACAATGCTAAAGTAAATATTGCAATTTTATGTTTTCAAACAGGTAAGACGCTTCTGATGTTGTTTGTTGTTCAGGAGTGGCTTGACAAGAGGAATACGACATTTGCATCATTACATGCAAAGCAAGATAGTTCAAGCCATGATGTGTCATAAGTAAGATGATTATGGCTTACAGCTCATGAAAACCCCAAATCAGAAGCGTCTTACCTGGGCTAAAGAAAAACAGAACTGGTCTGTTG